GTGTAAGTGGCCAGGTGTGTCAAAAGTTTGCAATCTGAGGACCTAGGTTCAAATTCTGCCTGTTTGATCTTGGGTAAGTCACTGAACCTTGATAGACTCAGTTTCCTCACCTGTAAAATGGTGAGGGGGGTGGTCTAGATGCAGTGAATGGTGTCAAATTCAGATAGAAACAGATTCCTCCAGGCCACATATTGACTTGTTCAGTTGTATCCAGGTCTTCGTGACCCCTTGTACCATAGCGCAGCAATACTGTCCATGGTAAGAATACTGTAGTCATTTATCATTTCCTTCTCCAGCTTATTTTACAAATGAGGAAACTGAGGCAAGCAGGTTTAAGTGACTTGCCCAGGATCACACAGTTAGTAAGTGTCTGAGGCCTGATTTAAACTCAGGTCTTCCTGACTCCAGGACCAGCATTCTATCTACTGTGCCATCTAGCTACAGATTGACTAAGAAAATCACAAATGAACATTATCTATTTTGCATTTTTTATTTATTTTGTTAAACATTTCCCAATTACATTTTTTAAGACTGGCTCTAAACCAATGATGCTATGACTTGTGTTTGAATCCTGTTTAAAGCCCGGGGAAGCTGTTGTGTGAGTTGTTTTACATAACAACTTCGAGTTTTCAGAGAAGGCTGGAGGAGGTTGGGGAATGGTATGATCTGGTCAGAAAGGGGGCTCCTTTCTTTTTTTTTATAGGGTTTCCAGAGTTCTCTTTTTAAGTGGTTTCAGTTGCCCTCAGGTAATTCATAGTTCTGAGATCAGGCAAGGTCAGTTCATACTCAGCTGCATTCAACATCACTACCTGGGTGAGTTTGAGCAGTCTGTCTGTCTCTGAGCCTTCTGGGACTAGATTTAATCTAGGTCTTACGCATCAGGCACTGTGCTAAGCATAGCCATGCTAAGAAAGGCATACACTGTCCCTGCCCTCAAATGGGAAGAGACAACAAGTAAATAACTCACATGCTGGTGAGATACCTGCAATATGAATGGGAGGTGATCTCAGATGGCCTCTGAGGCTCTATGATTCAAGGTCAGGAGACAAACTTGATTCAGAGGTCAGGCTGGAAGTCCTTCACACCCCAGGACATCAAGCCTAGGTTCTCTGGCCTACAGGGATGCTAAAGAAGTTAGCACGAGAGTCAGCCTCTGTTCTAGTCCCAGTTGAGTGACCTTCCTTGGTCTACCCAAGTGATCTCTCCCCTGGGCCTTTTCTGGCTCAAATGGAACTCCTCGCTGACTTCCCTTGTTCCTCACAAGCTTGACCTCTTCTTGGTGGCCAACATCTCCTGAACTTTGGGAGATTTTTTTCCTTCCCAGGGAGGCAGAATTGGGAACAATGAGAGGAAGTAACGAAAAAGGCAAATTTCCATTGAGGGACATATTTCCTCCTCCTAATTGTTTATCCAGAAGTGAGTGTGCTGGTAAATGTTTAACAACAGGCTCTCAGGAAAAACAAACAAACAAATGTCCCCAGACATTTAATCTGAATTATTACATTTTCTCTTTCACTTTCTTAAGTCTAGACAACCAACAAAGCAGTCATTCAAGCCCTCATTTGTAGCATTTGCTGATTTCTTGAGGAGTAAAAGCTGGCACTGAACACTTAAGGATAGGCTCCAGCACATCCCTGGGGTGACCCAGAAGTGGAATGGGCTGCCTTGGAGGAGGAAAGGGGTTCTTCCTCACTTGACTTTTCTGTGGGATTGTAGGGCAATTAGCCATCAATAAGCATTGATTAAGTACTATGAGGATGTACCGGGCACTGTCCTAGTGGCTGGATTTACGAAAATTAGATCGAATTAATACCCTCCAGGAGCTCACATTATAACGTGGGATATAAATATGCATTTGGGGGGGGATTTTATACATAATGGGGAAAACCAACACACGTGTACAATATGCATGTATGCAATATATACATTATAAAAACATCTGCCCACATGTAATATATGCAGTACAAATCTATACACATAAACAATGTGTATGCATATAAACATGTGTACATTCCTACATATATGAATGCAATATACATATAAACGAACCTGTACATATAAATATATATTCAAGCATGAACATATGCATATATAAACACAATGCATATATAAATATACACACATAAACACAATATATGCCCACATCTACATATGGATCTGGTTATATATGTATAAGCTTAGAATAAACATAAAGAAAATATAAATATAAATAAATTCATAGCAGTTAAATACAAGGGGACTTGGGAGCCCTAGCTGGTGAGGGGATCGGGAATGGCTAGAGGTAGAAGCTGATGAGGTGAAGATGGAGCTCATTCCAGGCATAAGAAGATGGCCGATGTAAAGGCTTCCCAGATGGGAGATGGAGAAGGCCAGTTAAGCTGGGCCAGAGCATGCTAGAGGGGCGTGACATACAGGAGACTTAAAAGATAGAGTGGAGTCAGGTTGTTAATGGCTTTAAAATCTAAACAAAGGAGATTTTATTTTATCCTGGAGGCAGGAGGAAGCCACTGGAGTTGATTAAAGAGGGCAGTGACATGGTCATCCCTGTGCTTAAGGAAAATTACTTTGACTGCCGCGTGGAAGATGGGCAAGAGTGGAGAAGTTATTGCCACGGTCCAAGTGCCTGTGTGACCCTGGGCAAGTCACTTAACTTCTTAGTGTCCCCAGGAACCTCTCCAAGACCCCAGTTTGCAGAGCTGGTGCTGGTCTGCATTGGCAGAGGAAGGCTCTGCTCTGGGAGGGCTCCACACTGATAACATTTCAGCACAGGGAAAAATAAACTTATCTAGTGTTTATACACAGTATGTATTGTGAAATAGATACACAGTCATTAACATAAATACACCTTCAGGCTCTCTCAGATTGGCCCCAGGGGGAGCTCAGGTTGGGGGAAGGTTAGAAAAGCTAGATTCTAATCCTGACCCTGCCACTTGGTGACCTTGGACAAAGCCTCTAGGCCTCAGTTTCCCTGTCTGTATGATAAAGGGTTTGAACTAAGTGGTGCAGTGGATAGAACACAGGGCCAGGAGTCAGGAAGCACCAAGTTCAAATGAAGCCTCAGACATTTCCTAGCTGTGTGACCCTGGATAAGTCACCTAACCTGTGCGTCCCTCAGTCTCTTTAATTGTAAAATGGGGATCATGATGGCTCCTATATCTCAGGGTTGTTGTGAGGATCATATCAGATGATATCTGTAAAATGCTTAGCGCAGTGCCTGGCACCTAGTAGGTGCTTAGTAAATACACATTCCCTTCCATTCTGAGGCTGCTGTCAGCTCTAAATCCTACAAACCTCCTTGTTTTATGAATGAGGAAGTTACGAGGCCCTGGGGCGTGGCACAATATAGTAGAAAGGGCTGGATTTGGAGCTGCAGGACCTGGATTCCAATCCTACCTCTGCTTTATCCTGTGTGACCTTGGCTAAGTCATTTATTTCGATGGACCTGAGTTTCCCCATCTATAAAGAGGGGGTTGGCTTGAATGATCTGTTCAGCCCCTCGCAGACCCTGAGATCGCCCTCCACCTGCCCCTCCTCCCCTCCATATACAACGACCTGGTTCTGTTGCCAAGATCACTTTTTGTTTGATGGAAAGGAAAGTAACAGCAGCCCAAGGGGGAAACCACCCATTTCCTGTAGCAGATAGAAGATTAAGAGATGGAGACTATTGGTAAATGGGCCTGGAGGCAGCTTGGGGTGCTGGCGGGAGAGGGGGAGGGAGGGAAAGCTCTGGGCACTGACTCTTCAGAGTTTGAGGGTGGGGTGGGAGAAGGCTGTGAATGGGCTCTCGCTGTTTCCTGAGTCACAACCCTGGGATTCCCAAGCTGACCTCAGCACCCCAAATGCCTGAGCATGATAAGTGAGGGTTCCAAGCATTTCAGTGAGGAGCAGTGGGTGGGGAAGGGGGTGCCCTGAGGACCACAGGAGGGACACATCCCTGGGAACTCTTCTCTTTTCTTTCCATTCCTGCCAAGGAAGGAGACGGTAAACACCAAGACCAGCCTGCTTATCCCGGTGCCCTGGGTCAGTCCAAGCTTGGCGAGGGTCAGGGGGTGCAGGCTGGAGGCTGGGGCTCTCACCAACAAACAGGCAGGTGTTTGGAAAGGGAACTGATTCCTCTGCCCAGGCCGTCGGCCAGGGCCTGCATTCCTCTGCCCCTTCGCCTCGTCTCCCTTGCAGCTGCTCCACGGGGGCCAGGACAGTTGTTCCGAGTCGGGGAGGCGCTCTCTGGAGACCGTCTGGTTCTCCACGCACCCCGGCTTTTGTGCGTTGGGTGATCTGCAATACTTGGGAGGCAGTCCTCGAGGTAGTGTTGACAAAGCTCTGCCTGTGCTTCCAACTCTGGACTTCCTAACTGCGTGTGACCTTAGGCAAGTCCCTAGGTTCCTCCTTCGAAAAAGAGGAGTTATTCATGCTTCACTCCTAGCCTCACCGGGCTGCCAGAGGGCAAATACTTTGTCAGCTTTAAAGTTCATTGAGTCCAGCTTCCTTGTTTTGCAAATGAAGACACTGGAGCTTAGGGAGGTTAAGTCACTTATCCAAGGACATCCAGATAGTAAGTATCCAAGCCAATATCCGTCCACCTGCTCACAGAGGGGAGGAAGTAATAATGGTTTGCTAAGGGCCTTTCCTCTCAATAACTTTGTGAGATAGGTAATGCTCACTTTATTATTTCCATTTTACAGATGAAGAAACTGAGGCTCAGAGGTTAAAGTGACTTGCCCATGGTCTCACAACTATAAGTGACTTGGGTGAACTAACTCAAGCCTGGCATTCATTCTGCTGTTTGCTTTGCCGCTTCCACCACATACGGGATGAGTTTGGTCGAGCACTGGTGCTGTCTGTAGCTGTCCTTCGGCCGGTCCCTGGTGGAATGGACATTGTTGGCCCCCATGGCCAGAGTCCCTGATGGACCGGAGTTTTAATAGCCCTGTAAAAATAGAGTGAAGGAGCCGACATCTCGAGGGCATCTCACTCACATCTGCCTTCTCTCCTCTCCCTAGGGCCTGTCAGTGACAAAGGATGGGTCCGGCTGCATCAAAGTCACCAAGTACTTTCTCTTCCTCTTCAACCTGCTTTTCTTTGTAAGTACATCAAACACCCCTCCATTTCCCTCCCATGGGGCATCTTCTCCCGCCCTTGGAGGCAGAGCTTCCAAGAACACGGGATTTCTTCTCTAGAAATCCTTCAGCTTTGGGGCAAAAGAAAGCTTCATGCTGCGGATTGTTGAAAGTCGTTCCTTGTGGCCCAGGGAAGTATTCAAGAAGAGGAGGCAGTCAGTGTACACAGTATGGGAAGAAGAACATCGAAGTTGAAGGACCTGTGTTCCCATCCACTCCTGAATCCTGCTACTGGTCTGGCTTTGGGCAAGCCCCTTCACTCTTCTGATGTCATTTTCCTGCCTTGCCTCCTTTTAGATTTTTTACCCTCCTCTTCCCCCATCCCCGCCTCCTCTTTCTGCCTCAAACTTTCATGTTTCACTTTTAGTTCCTTTCCCCAGTGGGGAAAGTTCTACCTCATGTCTCGGGGACCTCTGAGTCATTGCCATACTGGGCCTGAGGCTTGAGTGGGAGGACTCCTTTTTCATGGTTAGCCAAAACTCATGTGCCCATGATGGCAGTGGAGCTCAGACACCCTCCAGGGAGGGGGATGTCACCCAAGGAAGGACCTCACTGAACAGCCCAGTGGGCATCTTTGTTTGGGGAAACTGTGCTTAGGAGCAGGGGGATCTCCTCATTCTCTGTCCTCTCACCCACCCCAAATGTGCATTAGCCTTCGCCGTGCCCCTAGAGGCCAGGAGGCCTCTCTGCTAGAGCAGAAGCCCAGATGTTGGCTCTGTGGCACATCTGGATCTCGTTTTCCTGGGCTTGGGTTTTTTTTCCCTCCCTCTCCAAGCAGACAGTGAATACCTCTGAAGCTACCAGAATTCCATTGATTGGTAGTCATAGAGTAGCTTTTGACATCCCTGGGATAAAGTTTTAAAGGACCATCCTACTTGTGTGTGTGTGTGTGTGTGTGTGTGTAGAGGAGTTGCCTTCACATATGTAGACACTCTCTTGCTTTATATATGTGTGGTATATAGGAGGTACATAATAAATGCTTATTGATTGATTGATTGACTGGGGATACAGATGCATAAGTGAAACAGACCTCACCCTCAAGGAATTTGCACTGTATTGATGTGACCATTCAACATGTTGACATATAAATAAATGGAAAATCTATACAAAATTGACACCAACAATTGAGGAGACAGGAAAGGCCCCTGGAAGGAGGCTGCACCCTCGAGGAGACCCTTGAATAGGAGCCAGTCCTTATTTTGTGACTGCTATACATGCCCTGTTGAGATGAGGGAGGTGTTGGTGTCATGGGAAGAAAGGTGGGCCGGTCACGTGGTGCCGGATTGGGAATCAAGGGACTTAAGTTTACATCCCCATTCTGAGGTTTTCTACATACATGACCTTGGATAAGTCACTTATCCTCTGGGCCTCAGTCTCCTTATTTATGAAAATGAGAGGGGTGGATTTGGCAGTCCCCAAGGCCTCTCCCTGCTCTTAATCTCTTACCCTATGAACCTTCATTGTTCATACACGCCTGGGCCTGGCCCAGTTCCCAAAGATTACTAATTATGCTTATTTCATGGTTGTTCCAGGGACAGGGAGGGAGTTTGTTGGGAGTAGAGTGAGGGGAAAGGGGAAGGAGGGGGACCTTAGCCTTCTGGGAGATCATACTTAGGCTCTGGCTTGGCCAGCAGCAGGTATTGAGCCCCAGGGAGAGGCAGGGAAGGCGGTGTTTGTCTTCCACACAATCATACAATGGGTATGTCGGTGCCCTGCCCTGCAGTAACCCAGCTCGGCTCCCTCCCTAGGGCTGAGCTCTGGGCACTGTGCCCTCCCACCCACCCTGGGACCAGCCTTCTGGGCCCACAAAGAGTTGGCCTGGAGCTTCTAGGATAGGGAGGGAGAGGACAGAATGGCTCCAGCTCCTGAGCCAAAGTATTTTCCCACATTTTGTATGGAGGAAAGAGGAGGAGGAGGAGGAGACAGAAGGGAAAAAATTTCCCCCCCCCACTCTCCCAGGGAGCTGAAGGGGGCAGAGAAGGGGGCCTAGAACTGCCGGCCTCAGCACTGTACAACTGGCCTCACCCCCGCCAAGACTGGGATGGGGGCCTCTCCTGGCCCGGCTCAGTGGGTGATGTGAAGCAGCTGGGCTCTGGGCAGCAAGCACTGAGCTTCCTGGCTCCCTGCTCTGGCTGAGCTGGCTGCCTTAAAGGGCCAGCAGGTGGGCACTAAGCCCTTGACCAGGCTTGGGGGTTCTGAGTCAGGGAGGGGCTCTGCGCTTTGGGGACAGCAACAGCTGGTTGGATCCCAAGAGTGCTGGGTGGGAGGAACCGTGGTAATTGACGTGGATAGTGAGGATAATGATCCTTGCTAGCATTCAGGTGGCACTTTTTAAAGTTTGCAAAACTATCTTATTTTTCTTAGCTTGTTTTATATCATGGACCCTTGACCCTTGGTGAACTGCTTCTCAGAAGGATGTTTTTAAATGCATAAAATGAGATTCAGAGGGTGGCAAAGGAAATCAATTCTATTAAAATGCAATTGTCAAAAGACATTATTTTAAAAGTTCACAGCCCAGGTTAAGATTCCATATTTTGCAGTGCATGGTCAGGTAACTCTACAAGAAACGACAGGGGTCTTTCCCTTGATATTTTGACATTTTGATGGATGTGAGGTATACTTCAGAGCTGTTTTTGTTTGCTTTTTTTTTTATAGCTGAATATTCTTTCAAGTGTTTATTTAGAATTTTGGTTCTTACAACTCTGTAAGGCAGGTCTTTTGACGATGCCCATTTTACAGATGAGGAAATACAGGCTGCATGAGATTAAGTGACTGGTCTAGAGTTACACAGATAATAAATGCCTGACATAGGAGTCAGACTCTGAGGGCTGCTAGGTGGCACAGTGGATAGAGCGCTGGGCCTGGAGTCAAATTGCTAAGTTCAAATCTGGCCTCAGACATTTCCTAGCTGTGCGACCCTGGGCAAGTCACTTGCCCCTGTTTGCCTTAGTTTCCTCATCTGCAAAATGAGCTGGAGAAGGAAATGGCAAACCACTCCAGTATCTCTTCCAAGAAAACCCCAAATGGGGTCAGGGAGAGTCAGGACTGAAATGACCAAATAGGATTCAAACTCCAGTCTTTTAGATTGTTCCCAGTCCATTACTCTATGGACAGTAACCCTAAATGCTTCATCAATAATGTAGAAATATGAGGTTTTGACAGCTAATTATGGGATATGAGACCTTGAAGTGGAAGGACCTTTGAAGCATGGGCTCATAGATTTAGTGCTGGCAGAGACCTTAGGGGTCATCAAGGCTCCCCTTTCCCCCCATTTTAAAGAACAAGACATTGGGGCCCAGAAAGGAGCAACACCTCAGTCCAGCATGCGTAGGGAATAAGTAGCAGAGCTGGGATTTGAACCCAGGTCCTCTGACTCAAGGCAGGCATGCTTGCCACAGTGCCACCATATTGGAAAGTCCTGGCCTTTTTGATAGAAGGGGTGGTCAAATATCTTCCTTGTCACCCCTCCTGCAAAAGTGAGGGATCCCCCGGGCTTTGCCAAGGGGATTTGTTAGAGAGGGGGCACAGATTGTAAATAAGCACTTGAAAAAACAAAAAAGGTTTAGCCCTTAAAGAAATGACTCCCATGTGGCCATTCACATCTGTCAAAATAGGGAAAAAAGATCTTGTTTTAGGGAACTACCTGGCAGCGTGCTGTAAGAGGGAAGAAAATAATCATAGCCTTATTAGAAGAATCCCATTACTGGAACAGAAAGGAATTGTAGTGCGGAAAGTATAGTCAAGTCAACAAGCACTTATTGAGAGACTACTGTGAGCCAGGAACTGTGCTAAGGCCTGGGGTGGGGGTGGGGGTGGGGTACACTATGAGCAGAAAGAAAGGCAGTCCCTCCCCCTGAAGGAGCTTATATTCTAATGGTAGGAGCTTTGACAGTCATTGGATGATAGGAGGATTCCCCTGAGAGTATTTTCAAAGGGAAAGAATTACATACAAACATCTCTGGACCTCAGTTTCCTCATCTGTAAAATGAGGGGATTGGATAAGATGACCTCTGAGATCCTTCCAGCCCGATGATCCCGATCCCTGTCAGTCCTTGTGGGGGTACAAGGGAAAGAGGGCAGGTATCTTTGGTGCCGGCCACTTGGGGAGCAGCTCTGTTGCCTAAAAGATTAGGAACACCAAAGACTAGAGGGGACTTTGGTCCTTTTCTCTCCTGAGGGCCTAGATGGGCCTTGATGATTCTTCTGCTTGGGTTCCCCATTCAGGAGATCATTCACTGTGAAGGAGGACTGATCTGGTGTCTGGTGTGAAAGAGAGGCATGGAGGCCCCTGTGGGAGGGTTGTGAAGGGAGGGAGAGAGGGAAAAGTGGAGAGGCGCTGAGCTGGTTGGTGAGTCCTCCCTTCACCTTCCTTGAACCCAGCTGCCTCCAGACTCTGTTGAAGATGCACAGTGTGCTCACACATGCCTGGGGGAGGGGGGTAAAGGAGATCATGTTTTCCGGGACATGCCCAGTGAGTGATCTGGTCTACTGGGCCAGGGCCCTATCTCTTGTTTATTATCTGACCAGGGCGCCAGCCCAGACCGAAGGCGGAATCTGGAATGAGACCAACTTGGAGCCTTTACCAGTCTCATCTGGCAGAGACTAACCTCCTCCATTTTTCTCTCCTTACCCCTCGTCCCCCTGAATCTTTGAATCCTTTATTTATCCCCATGGTAGACTGTAAATGTCTCTGTTTGGCACTCAGAGCTCCATACAACCTGGCACCAGCCTATCATGTCATATATTACCTCCCTCCATGAGCTCTCAGGTCCAGCCCAACCAGCCAACACTTCTATCTCCCATCTCCCTCCAGCACCTTGCATGGTCTATCTCCCGTTCCTGGAAGCTCTCCTCTCTCAAAGACTCACCTTCTGCAGAAGGCCTTGTCTGGTCCCAGCAGTTACTTCTACTTTCTCAAGCCTTCCAAGCCCCTTGTGTCTTCCTTGTATGTATTCTCTGTCTGCCTCTGTCTCTCTCTGTCTGTCTCTCTGTCTCTGTCTCTGTCTCTATCTGTCTGTCTCTCTGTCTCTGTCTCTATCTGTCTATCTCTCTGTCTCTCTGTCTCTGCCTCTGTCTCTCTCTGTCTTTCTCTGTCTCTCTGTCTCTCTCTATGAATACACACACACACATATGTATATGTGTATATACATATATATATATGTGTGTGTGTGTGTATGTTGTAATATGTGTGGATATGTAGTAACTAAACTTTGTACCTTTCCTAATGCTTTGCATACAGCAGGTGCTAAGTAAATGACTGAGTGTGATGTGATTGTATTGTGCTAGTGAAGCCTGAAGCTGAAGGAGCAGAGCTTTCCCCCTGGGCCTTGTTCCCACAGCTGACCTTGGGTGGGGGTCTCAAATTAGGAGGGGTGGGGCCTCAGGGGGGGCTGAGCCTGAAGCTTGAGACTCAGAAGGACTTGTCCCCTCCCGATGTTCCCAGGCCTCCTAATTTGGCTCCTAGCTCACTGGCTTGACCTTGTCTTGAGCCTGGAACCAGCCCTGGCTGGTCTTGGGTGGGCTTGCTGGGCCTGGAGGTGCCCCTCCCAAGCTAGCCTGCGACCACACAGAAAGGGGCTGCCTGGGAAGGTTGGGAGCCGGGCCCTTTCCTTTCTCCAGCTCCCAATGGCCCCAGCCAAGGCGTCTGGAGAATGTGGGCTCAGATTTTTTAGGACTGGTTTTTTTCTGTCCATTACTCCCCCATCCTTTTGTGTTTATCTGTGCATTTTTCGAGGGAAGGGGGTGTTATCCTTGTCTGTAGGAGCCAGGGTGCCCATTTCCCTTTCATAATCTAGCAAGTTCCTGCTAGAGACAATGGCTGGAAAGCTTCAGGGGCTCTGTCTGACCCACCTCTCGTCAGGCTCCCAGAGCTAGCATCTGAAGGTATGGCTTGGCCTGTGGACTGGGCCCAGATGGGATCTCTTCTCCACAAAGAAGTCAAGCTTGTTATCTCACCCTGGAGTCTTTTAAGCCCTCCCACTTACTTCCTGCCAATTGTGTTCTGGAGACACTGGGTGACTCCCCTGTTTCCTACTCCAGTGACTTCATCTCACACCCCCAACACCCCTTGTCATCTCTGTACCTGGAGATCCAAGTGCTGGCACCTACAAGAGCTCCTCTGACAACGGGCAGCATAGATGTGTCAAAAAAGCATTAGGTTAGGGTCCGAGAGCCAAGTTTGAATCCCAGCTGTGCTGCGATGACCTGGAATGAGCATCCCCCCTCTCTAAAATAAAGGGTTTGGAATAGAACATCTTGGGTGGCTCCCCGTTCTGATGAGACTGTGACTCAGACCTGGGGCCTCATCCTCTGCTCTGTCATAGGTGTGCTGAGTGACCCTGGACAAATCAATTCCCTTCGATAAGCTTTAGATAACTCATCTCTATAACACAAATAACACTTGCCTTAGCAACTGCTCACAGAGTTACTGTGAAGACCAAATAGGTTAATGGGTATGACAGCCCCTTCAAAAATAATAGTAATTGTTGACACTTCTATTACCCTTACGAGTTTGCAAAGTACTTTACATAAGCTGTCTCCTTTGATTCTCACAACAACCCTGGGAGGCAGGCACTATTATTATCCCCATTTTATAGATTAGGAAACTGAGACTTAGCTAGGTGTCACAGTAGAGAGAGCATTGAGCCTAGAGTAAGGAAGACTTGAGTTCAAATCCAGCCTCAGGCATTTAACAAGCTGTGTGACCCTGGACAAGTCACTGGACCTCTGTTGGTCTTAGCTTTTTCTTTTTTTTTTTTCTTTGCTAGGCAATGGAGTTAAGTGACTTGCCCAGGGTCCACAGCTAGTAAATGTCGAGTGTCTGAGGCCGGATTTGAACTCAGGTCCTCCTGATTCCAGGGCTGGTGCTCTATCCACTGTTCTACCTAGCTGCCCAGACAACCACCCTGCTCTCCCTCTATATCTGTGATCCTATTTAATTCTTAATTCTGAGCTAGGGGGAGAAGATAATTACCAAGTCTATTCAACCCTCTCTAGGCCATGAGTCAGTTGTTGGGTGGGACCAGAACAGCCTTTGGGCCCTAATATAGATCAGTTTGACTCACAAGGAATCAGGAATCAGTGTCAGGAAGACTGACTCCTGCCTTAGACCTTTAATAGATTGTTGACCTTGGGCCTCACTTTCCTAGTCTGTAAAATGGGGGTGGTAATAGCATGTACTTCACAGGCTTGTTTTCAGTGAGATGGTGTATGTAAAAAACTTCTTAAGCCCTAAGAGGACTTGAGTTCAGATCCAGACTTTGGCATTACCTATGTGGAAAAAGTCACCGAAACTCTCTGGGTTTCAGTTTCCTCATCTATAAAAAGAAAGGATTCGATTAGATAGCTCTAAAGGTCAATTCCCAGCTGTAAAATACCAAGCCTGGTATTGCTAAATAAATGTGATCCTGGTCAATGCTCTTATTTTATAAGGGAGGAAACCGCCATTCTTATTGTAGCCAATATTATCCAGAAGAACGTCTGAGGGCTGGCCTCCAAGTCCCAGGTTTGAATCCCAACTCTGATGCATTATGGCCTTTCAGCACCCCAGGCAATTCTCTGAGTATATATCACAGAACAGCTGTTAATCATGGTGGAAGGCATTTCCTGACTGGGAGTTTTCTGTCTTGAAGTCACAAGTCTGGACCACCTGCCCCCCAAAAAGTGTGTGTATAACATTTTTAATATTTAACATCATATACATATGCATATATATCTTAAATTACATTTAATATTATATACACATACATACACACACTTACACGTGTACACACATATGCATACATAACTTCAGCGTTTTGTTTTATATCTACATATCTACGTGTATATATATATATTATATATATATATATATATATATATGTATGGTATATATGTGTGTATATATATGTATATGTGTGTATACAAACATACCTCAGAGATATTGTGGGTTTGGTCCCACACCAATAAAGTGAATACGGCAATAAAACGAGTTGCAAATCTTTCTGTTTCCCAGTGCCTATAAAGATTATGTTTATTCTATACTGAAGTCTATTGGGTTAAACAGTATTATATCTAAAAAAAATACATGCCTTAGTTTAAAAAAAGGCAACTTTTCTTGCTAAAAAATGCTAACGATCATCTGAGCCTTCAGGGAATGGTGATCTTTTTGGGGGTGGGGGCTGCTCAAAGTTGGGGTGGCTGTGGCAATTTCTTAAAACAAGACAACAATGGAGTTTTCATCACTTGAACACTTAGAGGCCATTGTAGGGTAATTAACTGGCCTAATTTCAATATTCTTGTATCTTGGGTAATAAAGAGGCCCCAGAAGAGGGACAGAGCCTGGGAATGGTCCATCAGTGGAGCAGTTAGAACACATACATTAATCAATTAAGTTCACCGTCTTACATGGGTGTGGTTCACGATACCCCCAAACAGTCACAATAGGATCACTGATCACAGATCATCATCACCAATATAATAACGACAAAGTTTGAAACATTGGGAGCGTTACCAAAATGTGACACAGAGACACGATATTAGCACGTGCTACTGGGAAAATGGTGCCAATAGACTTGCTGGTGCAAGCTTGCCACCACCTTCAATTTGTAAAAATCACTGTATCTGCAGAGTGCAATAAAACAAGCTATGCCTGTATATGTGTATGTGTGTCTATATTTTTGATGTTTGATATGTATACACGCACATACGTATGCATGCACATATACATACGTACACAGATGTGTGTATATCATAGGTCCAGTCCCTAGTCTTATATATTAATCCAGAGAGGGTGCGCCTCCCACTGTTCCAGGAGTTTGGCTCCCCTCACATCCTAACTTAGCACCAATTTCATTCTAGATCTTGGGAGCCACGATGCTCGGGTTTGGAATATGGATTCTGGCGGACAGAAGCAGCTTCATCTCTATTCTGCGTGAGTTTCCCATTTGGCTTGTCCTGCTGTGGGTTAAGGGGGGAGATCAAGGGAGCGAGACAGGGAGGGAGAGAGAGAGAGAGAGAGAGAGAGAGAGAGAGAGAGAGAGAGAGAGAGAGAGAGAGAGAGAGAGAGAGAGAGAGAGAGAGAGATGCCTGAGGCCTCTTCTCATCACGGCCATTCTCCTTACTCTGGGAAGTAAGTCTCCGTTCCTGACCCAGGGAGGAAAGGTGGCGGTTGGAGGCTTAAGTTAAACCAGGTCCTTTCCTGTAGCTCTTGGGTCCCAGGTGTTTGATATGTATGGTCTATTACTAGAAATGCTTTGACTCCTTACTGACCCCTGGAGGCATAGTAAGCACTGGACATGTGGCTAAGAGATAGGCCTTGGGTGTTTCTTTTTTTGATAGAGAAGGCTCAGCCATATAGATAAAGTGCAAGAGTACTGAATGCAAAGTCAGATCCTCCCTCTGACACTGAATACCTTAGACTAATCACTTAGCCTACTCAGGCCTCATTTTCTCATCTATAAAATGACGAATTAGGCAAGGTGACCACTTAGTTCCCTTCCAGCTCTAAATCTAAGGAGCCTGTGAGTCAGAAAGGCCTGAGTTCAAATCCTGCCTCTGACACTCCTAGCTGTGGCACCTTTGCCAAGACACTTAATCTCTACTGACTCAAGCAAATCTCAAGGTTGTAGATGGATTTCAAGAAAGTTCCCATAAGAACAAAATCACAGATCCTTCTCATATATGAGTGTTGATATAGCCTAGTGCTTAAAACATTGGGATAGGAGTGAGAAAACATTGGGATAGGAGTGAGAAAACATGGGATGTTTGGGGGGGGTAGATCTGATTTCACTCCCAGTGTAGAAACTCTCTCCACTGTAATCAAAAACTAATCTGTAATCAACACCGACAGAGACTTGCTTAGGGCACTGTCCGTGGTATGGACACTGAGATTCCAAAAGTTAAGTGAGGTGCACGTGGCCACAGAGATAAAACTTGAACCCTGGTTTTTCTGCCTAAAGAGCTTGCCTTCTCTCTGCCATAGTAGGACATCTCAGCATAAGCCTGACAAGTAGCTCTTAAAAGTCTGAGGGTTTTTTTTTTTTGTGAGGCAATCGGGGTTAAGTGACTTGCTCAGGGTCACACAGCTAGTTAAGTGTCAAGTGTATGAGGCCAGATTTGAACTCAGGTCCTCCTGACTCCAAGGCTGGAGCTCTATCTAATCCACCACCTACCTGCTCCTTGAGCTCTTTTTTAAACAATAGATTTTTATTGGTATCTTCTGTCTTCCAATATCTTAGGTTTCTCCCTGGATTCCTTCTCTTCTCCCCTCCCAGAGAGCCATCTTTTAAAACAAAGAATCTCTGAGTTCTTAAGAAGGTCATTAAGCCCAGGGTATTTTTAACATGTAATTATTTGAAGGAGCAGGGTTGCTTTTTAAGGGGAAAAAGCACTGGACTGGAAGACTGAGTCCTGCCTCTGACACTAACTTACTGAATGACTTTAGGGCAAGTCTCATCACCATTCTGGGCCTCAGTTTCCTTGTCTGTAAAAATGAGAAATTTAGATTAAAATCTATCAATTTCCAACCACTTCTGGCTGTCTCCACTTGGAATTTGTCAGGAGCAACTCAACCCAATGTGTCCAAAATTAAATTCCCATCCCCTCCTCTGCTCTTCATCCCCAACTTCCCTATTTCCATTGATGGGGCCGCCATCCTCTCTGTCACCAAGACTTAAGATACTAGAGTCATCTTTGGCTTTTCCCTCTCCCTCACTGTCTACACTTGATCCATTCTTTACACTGTCTATTTTCCCCTCTCAAATCCATCAAATATTGTTCTCATTCAGGCCCTTATAATTTCTTACCATTACCATTATGAGCTTATGAAATACCCTCCCTGCCCTCGGTCTACTTTTCTCTAATTCATTCTGCACACAGCTACCAAAATCTTATTTAATAATCTTAATCAAATAATCAAATCTTCATAAGATTTATGAAATCTTATTAATTATTAGACAGCTCGGACAAGCTACTCCCCTGTTCAAAAACCTTCAAGGGCTCCCAATTGCCTATAGACTAAAATCTGGAATCCTCAGTTCTGGCACAATCTATATTTCCAGCCTTTTTTTCCTATGATTCCCCTCGATGTCCTCTATATTCCAGACAAATCTAACTGTTGGTCATTCATAGATCTTGTCTAGCCATCTCTGCCTCGGTGCCCTTGTGAAGGCTGCCCACCACCCCTTTCATACTGAATGCATGTTCCTCTTCTTGAAAGCATCCACTGAGGGGGAACCCACCCACCGCTTCTCAAGGCAGCTCATCCCACTTTTGGACAGCTCTCATTGTGAGCCTATTTTTCCTGACATTGAGCCCAAATATGCCTCTTTGCTTCATCTCCCTCTTGTCTCTAATTCTGTCCTCTGGAGCCAAATAGGACAAGTTTCATCGCTGTTCAATAGGATTATTATTCAAGTATTTGAATACTGCCACTGTGACCTCCTCTCCTCTTATCCAGGCTGAATATCCCAAGTTCCTTCAGCTGTTCCTCTCATTGCAGGGATGGCAGATCAGAGGATAATGGCTAGGGCTGGAAGGGACCTTGGAAGACATCTTTCCAACCCTCTCATTTTACACAAGAGGAAAATAAGGCCCAGGAAAGTTAAATGACTTTCCAAGGTCATAAAAGGATTCAGTTTCGGAGGCAACATTTGAACTCCGGTCCCCGGCCCTAGAACGAGTGCCTCGAGGCCCATTTCCACCTGGAGAGAGGCAGGGCTCACGTAACCTCCCACACCTGGACGCAGACTCCATCCTCTCCCCACTCTGGGTCCCAGGTCTTTGCTCTCTAGCCCGCCCCCTCCCCCGGTCACAGCGAGTTGTGGTTATTGCTTATCTCCCTTCTCCCCAAACAGCTGCAGGACAGGTTCAGGGTAGGGAAGAGCTGACAGCTGTTGTATTTGCATAGTGAAAGCTCCGCTGAGCCCACACCTGTTGCCACATCTCCTCCTAATCGAGGGCCGTCCTGTGCCGGCTGCCTCCGATTCTCCCCAGGGAGGGAGCTGGCCCCATTCTGGTCAGACCCAAGCTTCTCAGTGCTTAGCTTTCTCCTTCCTTCCGGGGGGCTGGGAAGGGTGGAGATTTCCTGCTTCAACCTAAGATTCCTCTCGCCCAGCTGTGTTCGCCCTTTCTCCTCCCACGACTTTGGTAACCTGAGCGCTTTTGCAAGGGTCGCTCCTGCTCGGGGCCTGCTACGGCAAAAGGGGACAGGGGAGGAAGGTGAATACAAAACTCTATGGTCTTGGCCCCTTGCCTGTGCTTCCCAGGCATCCGTCCAGCAGAGCAAGGTCCAGGGAGCCCTCCCAAGTTCCCATCTTGGTGCTCACATTCAAATGGATTGTAGACCTGAGCTAACTTGCTCTGGATGGATATTCTCTCTCTCTTTTTTAATTTTATTAATTTATTTTGATTTATCAACAATCACTTCCATATGCTTTTGAGTTGAAAGTTTCTCTCCCCCTTCCTCCCCTCAACCCTCCCCAAGAGGGTGCACAATCTGATATAGGCTTTACATTTACATTCCTATTAAACATATTTTCACATTAGTGAAGTTGTAAATAAAAATTAACGCCAATAGGAGGAACCATCAGAAAGATGAAACAAAACTTAACAGAAGGTAAAAATAAGTGATAGCAATTGGACTTCCATAGTTCTTTCTTTGGGTGTGGACAGCATTTTCCATCCCAAGGCCTCTGGAGATGTCTTAGATCCTTGTAATGCTGAGAAGGGTTCAGTTTAACAATCTTAGTCATCGCACAACATGGCTGTTATTGTGTACAAAGTCCTCTTGGTTCTGCTCACTTCACTCAGCATCAGACCATATAAGCCTTTCCAGGTTTTTCTGAAGTCAGCCTGTTCATCATTTCTTATAGCACAATAGTATTCCAACTTGCTCAGCCATTCCCCAGTTGATGGGCGTCCTCTCAGTTCTGGATGGGATATTCTCACTGCCCTTTCTCTCCCCCTCCAACTTTCCAGTCTTCTTATACCTTATTCCCCTTTGATCCAGTCATCAATCCAGCGACCCAGGCCTCTTGGCTGCTCCAGGAACAGGACCCTCCATGTCTCAGTTCTGGGCATTTTCCTCTGGCTGGCCCTGGTGCCCGGAATGCTCTCCCTCTGCTCAGATGGCTGACCTCCCTGGCTTCCTTGAAGTCCCTCCTACAGAAAGCCTTCCCTAACCCTAAGAAGGGTTAAGATTAAGAAATCCCAGTGTTTGCTTTTCCCTCTTTTATTTCCTATTTATCTTTTGCTTTGTATATATTTGTTTTATATAATTTTTTTTTTTGGTGAGGCAATTGGGGTTAAGTGACTTGCCTAGAGTCACACAGCCATTAAGTGTCAAGTGTCTGAGGCTGGGTTTGAAGTCAGGTCCTCCTGACTCCAGCCCCGGTACTCTATCTGCAGCGCCACCTAGCCTCCCCTTTCCTTTTGCTTTGCATATATCTGTTTGCTTGCTGTCTCCCCCGCTAAACTGTAAGCTCCTCGAAGGCAGGGACTGTCTTCTGCCTCTTTTTGTATCCCCACTGCCTGGTGCATAGTAGGTACTTAATGTTTTTTGATTAGTATGTAATGCTTCTGACTCAGAAGATGCTCATCTGATGACTAGCTATCCAACCCTGAGCAGCTCATTTAGAACCTTAGACTATCTGGAAGACGGCCCTGAGGAGATCTAATAATGACAAAAACTAACATTTATATTTATTCACATTTTTTTTTAGGCCATTGAGCTTAAGTGACTTCCCCAGGGTCACACAGCTAGTAAGTGTCAAGCGTTTGGTCTGAGGCTAAATTTGAACTCAGGTCCTCCTGACTTTAGGGCTGGTGCTCTATCTGCTGTGCCGCCTAGCTGCCTCCTATATTTATTTACATTAAAGCTAACATTTTAAGGTTTTTAAAACATTGGACACAAGTTTTCCATTTAATCCTCAC